TATATATGGAAGACGTATATATCTGTAATGTTCTGTACAATATTCAAGCTTTCAAAGATTTTTGATTATAATTTTGTTTCTTACGAGTATTATCTTCTGAATAAAATCAAATGATTTTTTCAAAATAATACTAGATATTTAGAAAGTTAGAAACGAGATTACAGTAAAACTATTCATTGATAAATTATAAACAAAATCGTTTCTTCACTAAACTTATAAAGTAATTCAGCTACTTAAAATATCTAAATTTTATAAAAATTTTAAAACTTTAAGCTAATTCTTTTGTGGTCTTTTCTTTGTTTTGATTATTAAAGTTTATTAATATTATTTTGTGTACATGAAACATTTATAAAGATTTGGTAAAGTTTGTTAATAGTCGCAGCCTTCAACAGTTTTTTAGAGAACGTTGCTGTCACAAATCAGTATCGAAAATTTAATATGAAGTAAAACTTTAAGCATAAAAATGCAAATATTTCAGATTATAAATTGACAAGTAGATATGATAAAGTTCAATGAAGCATTTAAATTTTAATCATTGAGTTACTGGTTAAAGAGAACTTTAAGAAAGTTGAACTGCACAGTACACATTTAAAATTTCAAATCTGTTCATAGATTGAATGGCGTATTTACCTTACTTGCTGTATTACTGCAATGCAGGCTTAGAACACAAATGCGTTTCACGTTTCTTCCTACTGTAAAGAGTGCATCAGAGAACAGGTGCCAAGTGCTGTTCCGTTCTGAGTTGGAAATTCGTAACAGTTACTCCCATAATTTATTTCTTCTTCAAATATAGGCCCGCTAATGACTTTCTGGCAATGATTTTGGAATTTTTTGAAGTATTAACAAAAGACTGTAGTTTTGAAAATGCTGTTTGTTGCCCCAAATTTATCCGCAGCTATAGCTTCGTCAAAACTTGTTTGCCATCTACGATATCACATGCAGTTTCTCCACTAAAAACACAAAGTGACTGGCACTATTTGCTTGAACGTACCCTTGTCGTCTAACAGAGAAAAGATTTTTTGTTTCTCATCTTATACATTTATATGGAAAAGTCTTAAATCCAATAAGGAATAACTGTTAGGTATCTTCAAAAAATTTAAACTTATTCAAAAGTATTCCAAAGTAGGACATTATCGCACTGCAGTTTTTCAAAGAGAAACCAAGTTGAATTTAGACGCTTTTTGCTCCAATCACAACGTACGTTTGTTCGCGTCCGAATATGAACGTTAGGGAGAAGACCATTGGGTGCTGATTGCTCACAAGGGTAGCAGAAAAGGTGTTGCCAGCTAATTTCCACTGCTTCTTCGTTTAATTGAATATGGAATCTCTGTTTAAACTTACGAAATGCTAAAAAATTCATTTTGGTTTCTCCATAAAAATTTACACCGTGCCGAGGTCGTCTAGTTTTGACGTGTCCTCCCTTAAAGTTCTTTCTGGCAACTTCATGGCAAGTACGCCTCAATGACATGCACTGATGTAAGATTAGAGGCACTTACCCCTATGTGGTCTAGTTTCTAGAATTTATAGCTTTCACCCACTCGGCCCGGGTACGATTTCCGGCATAGGAAGCAGCGGTCCAAAGGTGGAGCCGGGTTGTTTGGTGCTTGGTTCGCCGGATCGTTGGCTATTTCCTCCTAGTCACTGCGAAGGTGATTCTCTCCGAACTTTAAGTCAGTCATCATCATGTAGGGTACGCGTATAAATTAAGAAATGTAAAAGCATATATTCACAGTCAGTTGTAACTGTATTATTCACAGCCACAACGAAGAACTTGGTGGGGCGAAAGCGTGTTTGCTTCTTATAAGCGGAGGGTTTTAATCGAGCATTAGTGAAGCTGTGTCATTGGTAGCCAAAAAAAAGCCTTTGCGGACGTACGATGATTGCTGGTTCAGATTAGGAAATGATTTTTTAGTATACAGTACTACTCCGGAGTAGTGCAGGGCAGATTTACACAAAGCGTTGATGGAATATGGAATGTTGGTTAGATTTTGTCGCTGTGAACCACGTCCTCAGGTATGGATACAGTTTCCTGCAAGCTGCTAGAAAGTCTGTGGCGACATGTTGGTCAGAGTTCAGCTAATAGGTTTTTCCATTTCTTTTCTTTCTGTAACTGGCATGCGAATTCGAACTTAACAGGTCCTTGATGATTTCTGGTCCCGTTTGTAGCGTTCTGGCAATAAAAATTTTTTCTAAACAGTGTCGTCTGGTATTCCGCCTAATGTGTACTTTGAATGAGCAAATAAGCTGTTTTAAGCAATCAGCATCTGTGGTTGTGCTAGCCGTAGCGATTAACATTGAACCTGCGGCGGCGCAAGTAGACTATGGATGTGAATAGCAAAAGGGTTTTTTTCAAATTCAGCGCGATTGAGGTGGTTTAGGGAAACCGGGTATCGGAGACTGAAGGGGAGTGCTGGATAATTTTTTGTTTAGCTAAAGCGAATTTATAGAAAAATTCAAAAAGTTTTAATTTTGGAGGCACCTTATGATTTACAAGATATTAGCTGGTGTCATATGAGAATTAGTCCAATGTCATACTAAAAGGAAATTTCTTTTATCATTCGCTTGTGATTCATCAACTAATATTTTTTCCTTCTGCTCTTTCTCTTATTTGAGAATATTATAAAGTCTTTATCTGGTTCCTCAATCAACCGTTACTTAAAAAAGCTACTTTGGAAGATCAATTTTTCTAAAACCTCTTTTTTGTTCCAATACCTTTGTGAAGACTCCAGTTTATTGTTTGTAAGTGCTACTTCTAAATACATGATCCTCAATAAGTATTAACAGTCCAAATCTGATAATTCGTGCAAATCCATTTGAAAAGGACAAAACTAAAGAAATTTATAGCAGCATATTTTCTGGCACATAATTAAGGCAGTGTAAAAGCGAAAGACCATTGATGACTTTGGCAGCAGTTTTATAAGTTAGAAACTTAGAAGGTGCTAAAAAACCTAAATGGAGACCTAAATTTACAGTCGATTCACGGTTTGAAAATGTCTCAGTGCTACAGGTAAATGTGTATCAACCAGAAGCAACACCTAATTATAAGTGATCACTCTGTTTGAAGACCAAAAAAATTATCATTTTTAAAGTAAAGTGGCACATTTATTCCTCAAAAAGTGGAAGTTTTTATTACTTATGAACAGTAGTTGCTTGATGCTTCACTTGGTAGAATCGTAAAAAATTATCGCCGTTATGACAATCATCCCTTTTGGAAGCAGGTATGCTTGAGTTGCTTAGTAGTTTCCTATTTTAATTGGTCGCGCCGTTTCTTGCTTTATACACTTCTTTTTATTTGTAGTTTTCCAGTGTACTGCAGAAATATCTATGATTTGCCAACTAGCTCAATTATTAAGACGGAATACCATCTGTAAAAAAACTCTTATAAAAAACTGTGCTATTATTAGACGAACAGTTATTTACTTCTAGCAGTCTAGCTGAATACTTTTCAGTTTGTTTTTTTCAGCAGCTTCTCAATAGCGACATTATTAAATGAATATTGTTATAAATTACTTAATTAATTGTTTGTAGTGCTTTTTGGGTAATGAATGAATGACGAACGCTAGGTTTTAGGATTAAGGAAAGACTAACAGAATCCAACGAACCTAAAACAGCTTGGCCGTCGTTAACAATATGCTTTTGTCTGCTTACTCTCAACGGAGTGTTGTTTTCTACTTATATGACTTCTGGTTGGCCGTACCTCATGGAGGTTTCTACTTCATTTTGAGCTTTGTGCAACAGTGTTACACCTTCCAAAAAGTTTATTTGCTAATGCTGAACACGTAAATTCTCAGCTGATACGAGTAACATCTGCTTGGTCAAAAAGGATTAGTTTTCAAAAAGTTTTTTCAGTTAGATCAGGAGGCTGATGTACGATTTTTTGGTTGGATAATGGCTGGATATAGTTTGGGACAAATGATTTCATGTTGGTTGTTTGGATGGTGGAGCCAAGTGACAGCTTCGACACGTTATCCAGCGATTTTTGGTCTGTTACTAGCTGCGGGAGGCAACGTTTTATACGGATTGCTTCCTGCTTTGCCGTATAATCGGAAATGGTATATGTTAGTTGCTAGACTGTTTACTGGTTGGGGCGCAGGTGAGAGCTTTTTGTTAGACTTACCATTGGCTTGTTGCTTATTTCTATGTTACGCAAACATTACTTTTGTGGCCACTTACAACACAAAATGGAATAAAAGTATTCTTAAGAGAATATTCTACAGGAACCCTTAGTTTGATAAGATCATATTGTGCTATGGCGAGCTTACACAAAGACAGAAGTCGGGTGGTTGCTATTGCTAGCGCATGTTTCACTATAGGTATTGCTGCTGGACCATCAATACAAGTTTGTTTATCTTTTACTTGTATTCTAGACGTTCATCTTTTCTGGACTTTTTCTGGTTGAGTAAGCTATTTGAGTTCGGCTTTTTATGGGTAATTTTGCAATATTTATAGTTTTTTAGTGCTTCTGCAGTAAAATACGGTATTTAAAGACATTTTAATAAATGTTACTGCATTTAGGCTTTGTTTTTGCCGTTCGGCAAAACTGGCATCAAGTTGTTTTCAATTCATATTAATATGTTTACTGCTCCAGCATTTGCACTGGTCATTGTTTGTGTTGTGGGAATGGTGGTACTTGCAACATGTTTCAAAGAGGATTATGTAGCGATGGTATCAGATGAGGAGAAAAAAAGTGATTTTTTTTTTTGATTTTTTCTTTATCAATTTATCATAAAGCGTCCAAGTTTATTGTCTTTGAAGCCATAATTGAATTCCTCCAAGCAACACTTAACTTGGAGTAACAATGTTTTAGTACTATGTAGTAATCATTGACTGGTAGTTAGAGTAATAGTGTGGTTTATTAAAGGTCTCTTAATTTTTGATAGTATGAAATAATCGGTACTTGGTGCACAGTAATTGAATGTAATACGGCTTTTTTTTAGATTCATTTGTTATAGTTCCAAAATTTGACCGTGTTGCTGCTTACACATGTATCTACATGTGTTTTATTGTACAAACCATTGAGACGGCTTTGGAAGTGTTAGTTGTTATCAGTCATACTACTGGCTTCTTGGTTTAATCTCGCTATTTTTTAAAACAAGGGTTTGTAGCAGTATGGTGTTTTGTTGATTAGTTGTTTATTAATAATTGGTTATAGGCTTTCTACTCCGTTTGGTGTTTCACTTTACAACTGGACGACTGAACAGGCTATCTTTTATTATGGAGTTGTTCACACTTGTTCCTCAACTATTGATGTTATAAATTATGGGATACTAAGTTTTACAAGAATTCGTAAAATGTTCGTCATATCGATTGTTTTATTTGGTTTCTTGTTTTTGTTTGAGCTATGTATAACATTCAAAAACCACTTTAATAGCTCAGTTTTATCGTTTCGGTGTTCAGGGATATGCGAAGGCTGCTTCTGTTTGGTATTTCATGTTTTACAATATACGAATTACTGCTTTTGCCGTGGCCTTTTTATGATGGTCCATTGGATTACATAAAATTAGGTAGTATTAAAAGTGTTGTTAAAATGGTCGAGTTGAGTAGGATTTTTCAACCTGAGCAAATCTAGAAATTATTTTTAAATTTTTTAGGTTTTATTTTCGTGTATGACTGCTTTGCTGACAATTTTTTAGATGCTTATATTAGAATTTTTTCATCTTTCTCTTTATAATTTTTTCTATTTGATTATTTGAAACATCTCTTTCTTTGTTATTTCAAGTAGCGAACTTACTTTGTTCAAATTGTGAATCTAGGAGTTTATTAACTTGGAAGACCTCTTGTAGGAAGAATGTGCAGTACAGTTAAATTATCAGCTCAAAAACTTTAAAAACTCCAAATTAAAACTTCTGATGATGTATATTTTTTTGAAGCACCTAATTCTACTGTGGAAGATCCGTCGTATTCCGGAGGGTGTTTCCAGGTATACCGGTGGTGTTCACAAACTACTCGAGTTCCCATTTACATATATTTAGTTGGCTCTGTTATAGTACTCGGTTTCGGTTTTCCATTTCACTTCACTCCTACTGGAGTAATATTTTCAGAAGTTTTAGGACCCAGAAAACAGGTTTGATATGAGCATATGATTTTATTGTTAACAGGACTATTACTTTCACTTTTTTGCAGGTCAAGTTTTTCTTTACCTGAGGAACGGCATATTAAGATTAGTGATTAATATAGAAGTTTAAAGGGATATTTGTTTCGAATTTCGTTCTAACTTTTACTGTTTTTTTAGTTGACATGAAGATATTCTATTCATTTTTTATCTGCATATTCTAATTGTGTTAGCTTGAAGTAGTTTATAGCTGTTCACATATAACGGTACCTAGAAAGCTCACTTGATCTGCTACAAGTGCTTACAATTATTTTTTTAAACCTAGATTAGATAGTTCATTTATAATTAGCGACTGGGAATCCCAGTAGCCCTTCCAATTGGTTTTGCTTTATATGAATTACGTGCCGTATCATCTGGTAAAATGTCTGGTACAGTGATGTTTTCAGGGAATGATGCAAGGGATTTTTGCATTTTTTGGATCTTCAGCTCGTTGTATAACACCGCTGTATCAAACGTGAGTTTGTATCACGATGCTAGTGTTTTTACAAGTTTTTGGCAGTGAAGTTGTCTAGTATAAGTTGTTTATACTTATTGAAAGAAGCTTAGCTTTTTCACTGGTTACATCCAGTCGTCGTCTTACCAACGAGTAAAATAAAGTTTCAGGTATCTGTTCAAACATTCCGGATATTTATGGCCGAATTTAATCTGCTTGTCACTGTTACTAATAGGTATTACGTTATTGCTATCATTTTGGAGCAGGCTTATTCCACTGAGGATGGTTCCAAAATTGGGTGTTGCGACACGTTATAAAGGCGGAGTTTTCTATCATTTATAGGTGCGCCAGTAAAACTTTTTTGTAGAACCGTTTGTGGCGATAATTATCATAAAAGAGAAAGAAGTAGAAATATAAGATTTGCTATAAGTGGGAAATGTTTAGGACAAAAGTTTATTACCACTAGCAACAATAAAATTCTTTGCTTTGAAATTTTTATTAGCTACTTTTTCATATCGTTTTCTCATCAATTTATTTGCGGAACTACTGGTTACTGTTTTCTTGGTTGAAAAAGCCTCTTTTTCCAGTAACTTTCGAATTTGCCGCTGTGGAAGTTAAAGAAAAATTTTCAACTATGCTGGACACGAATCTGAACGGGCGAGCTTTAGTTATAAGACTGGATACTGGGATGTTGGTTTGGGCTTTTGGAGTGGCTAAAAAGTACCTTTTTTAGTGACGAGGATATCACTGAACTGTTCTTTCTTGTTATTTTAGAAAGGTTAGTATGGTAGTTGTTTGATTTTGTAAGCGCTTTGAATGCGTTAAGGGTTTTGAATGTAGATGAAAGAAAGCTTTTCAGACTCTTCACTAGAGATTCCAGTAAACTAATTATAGTTTTCAGTGTAGTCTAGGGTTTGTCATTTGTTAAGTTTTAAAATGTCAATTTCGTATCTCTTTTTACTTGTTCTGTTCTACTGTACTAATTTATCTCGCATTTGCAAGGATATACTAACGTTAATATACTAACGTTATTTTCATGGAACTGGCGTTTGCCTTTGCTTGGAAGGTATGAATGGTCCAAAAGGACATTGAAAATTTGCTGAAATAAATTTTCTAAGTCTAGATACTTCTTAATTTGCAAAAGCAAGTTCACCAAAGACAAATGGAAGTGATTTAGAGGGCTGTAGAGTGGCTGTGATGGAAAAGAAGTCTTTCGAGTGGCTGTTTCTCTGTTAGAAAAAAAAACGAGATTATTTGGTGTGGCGTAGAGCGTTTCTAGAGTAAACCATTTCACAAATTTCATCTAAGTATTGAAACAGTAGTTATCACTTCAGGAGTGCAGTTTGAAACACGATGCCAGATTTTCGTAGTTTAATGACTAGAAATTAGGTATTTCTGCTCGAACACTGAGCAGTGAAGCCATTTGCTGGTTGCATTCAACGGCTTCGCTTAAAAAGTCCGACTTATTAGTCTGTGAAAGACGTTAAAATGCGGTGCAAGCAAATATTTCTCCGACTTTTAGTTACATACTTGGCAGATACTCACAATAATAATAGTTTTGACTTTTTACGCAGGTTTCTTACCTCGATTAGTATGGAAGGTTTTGTTTGGTATATCTCAAGATGTGTTTGAAGACCTTAGAAAAACAGCTTGGTTCTTTTTCTTTATGAATGTTATATGTTCTCGGGGGGTATAGTATACACATACAGTTGGTGGCTGATGTAACATTACAATAAGTCGATTTCTAGCGTGAATTTGAGGTTCTTGGAAATCGCTTACATTGGTGGAAAACATCTTCAGAAGAGCCAGATATAAGCAACTAGTTGCAAAATTAATATTGCTAGACAGACAGCAACGTAATGGCAACTGTGTTTTTTGATGTGGGCCTTCGTTTCGGTTCTCCTAATTCAGGTGCATCTGCTGGCCGTAAGTTTTCTAAGAACAGTGTATATGGAGAAACTTCAAAAATAAATAGTTGAACTTTGAGAGAAAAAAAGTGCAAAAAGGTAGTAGTTTTAAAAGGAGGAATTTTCGCTGGGAAAATTTTTTTAAAATCTCATCTTTAAAATTTTTCTGGCATACTTTTCTCTATTATATTTTTTACGGTTATACGTGTGAGTTAACTGAAAGAAAAAATTTTATTTATATGGTTTAAAATTTGTTAATTGTTATATACTACTGGAAATTCTACTGCATTCAGACCTAATGTAGGCTAGAAGAGTCAAGCTCAAAATTTAATTGTAACGTGAAAAAGGCAGTAGATAACTGTGTTGAATAAACATAAATATTTTTTTGAAATATAATTTTCTGATTTGATGAAAGACTTAAACAACTATGATTTTGAATGCTAGCTAATCGGATCTGTTGAAAACAATTAAACAAAGAATTAAGAGGCTATTATACGAACTTTTAATTTACGGTGCACGATGCAGTAATGAGATACAATTGTATTCTAGGTTTTAATACGGTTATTTTTTCATTGAACACATCTATATTACTCAGTGATTTCTTTTTAACTGCCGTACAAATGGACCGTAAAACTTTACGGTTAATCAGCAGTAAAATCAAAGGTAGCAAAAAATAATGCATTCAGTAGTAGTTTAAAGATGTTATGATCAAAGTTTTTTCCTTTTGTATTTAATTCACTTTCTTTTTTACTTAAACTTGATTCCACGTAATAGTCTATAGCCTAAGAGGTATAGACAAGTTAAATTGTTCCTCTATGATCAGCTGAATTCCAGAGTTGTACCGCTAATTATCGGTTGAAATTTTGTAGTTAGTGCCTATGCATCAAAAAAAAAAAAAAAAAA